ATATATATATATATATTGTTTTTTTGTTTTTTTTGTTTTGATTACATTTTCTTATCACTTGGAATGCAAAACTTGCTTTTTAGTTAATACTGAACAAAAATTTACATTTTCTTTGAACAATTAGTAATTAGTGCGAAGAAATGTAGACACTTGTCATATTTTAAAAGGCCAGTCCAACCACAACTTATCATTTTTGGTATCTACAGGAAAGTTACACCACCTTCCAAATTCTTATATCTTAGGGCCATGTCACATTAGCAATTTTGTTCATGTAGACTTGCAGAGAATTTGCCAGAGATAGGAAGGCTTTGGAGGAAACATGCAATCGGTGAAACTTTCACCTGCATGCATGTGTCTCTTTCGACAACTGAGGTAGCAAGGCAACGCTTACTCACCATTGACCTAATTTTTGCAGTGTTTTTGGCAAAGAGGAAGCAATGCTTCAATGCCAAAGCTCGCAAAGGAGCGACGCATACAAAGCAGGCATGTGTGCTCCCTGCATTTTCAAGCGATCCTGTCACTGGTGAATTCTTACTAGAACAGGATCACTTGTATGACAATAGGGTCTCTGTTGGTAAGGTCTCTGCACTGAGTTCCTGGGTTTGCACACCTGCTGTGCACACAATGATGGGTTCCCACTCTCCTTGCTGGATTTTTCAATTCATGTAATATTATGGAAAATGTAGGTGGAAGAGCTGGAACACACATAGGTGAACAGGAACACACAAAACTCCCAGGTGGGCAGGAACTGAGCTTTACCTCAAACACACCAACTCATGTAAGAAAGGCAAGTTCTGTTATTTGCAGATTATTAATGGCCAATTAAGGTACATATCATACTAATGATTCAAGCCATAGCTTTTATTTTTAACCCCTTCGGACATACCACAGCAGACATGTTACTTATGTCTTTACACGAATATGAATCTTGCAAAGATTTTGACCAAAAGATTGTAGCACATATATAAAGTTTACAGATACAAGAATGCAAATGTCACACACCTGACTGACATTTTATATGACCTAGAACAGACCCCATAGAAGATATAGAAGTAACCCTAACCTTGTGCTTAGAAAAACTTCCCATTAAGGAACGGCTATGACGCTTGTTGGGGCTGGGCTCTTCTCCAGATTCAAGCTCTCCCTCATTTTTACTCTGAAAGACAAAAATCACTATGTTAGTGTGTATACCTGTAACATGTACCTTCAACAAAAAGGAGATTAACTCTGAATGGCTAAACTGTTTCATTCAGGAACAGAGCACAGTGACAACAGCTACCGATGTTGCTGGTTTGACAAACTCTGCCAACCAATAAAATGAAATAAAAACCTGACACAGTGTCAGACTCACAGGAGTGCAATTTTACATCTTGTTGGCTGCTATGTAAAATCTTGTCTGTACACTGTATGCATTTAATATTTGTGCTAATGTTTACATGTGTACAACGTATAGTGCAAATGCACCCGAAGGCTCTATTGGTTGCTAGAAAGCAGGCCACTCCTGTCGCCTAGCATCCTTGAATTCTACACAGGTGACTCCTGCCGCCTAGCATCCTTTGTTGCTGGAAAGCAGGTCACTCCTGCTGCCTAGCGGCCTTCAATTCTACACAGATGACTCCTGCCGCCTAGCATCCTTTGTTGCTGTAAAGCAGAACACTTCTGCCACCTAGTGTCTTGCAATGGTAATCAGGTAGCTTCTGCCGCCTAGCGTCATTCGTTGCTGGAAAGCAGGCCACTTCTTCTGCCAAGCATCCTTCGCTGCTAAGGCGCAGTTGGTTCCTGCAACCTAGCGTTCTTTGTTGCTACAGAGGAAGCTTCAACTGCCTAGTGTTCTTTGTTTCTAGGATGCAGGCGGCCATTCAGTGCCAACGGGTCAACTCAATCATGTGTAATCAAGCTGATGTTCAATGTTGAGATTTACATGTGGGTCCTGAGCAAGCCAATAGGAGTACATTTGCAATGTATACTGGACTTATATAGTCAGTAGCACAAATATTTACACGCATACAGCATAAGGTCAATAAGGAGGCCAGTGGACACCGATTTATCTTTTTCGATTTTACAGATCTGAACGCAGAGCAAGTTTAATGATCTTTAAACAGCTTTGTGTATGGGCCCATAGAAAACAATACAGGAAATCCCCCCCCCCCCAAAAAAAAAAACCTCCCAAAAAAAACCTGCTGTACTGATAAATACACAGCCTTTTTTATTCTACAGCTGTGTGCATGAGCCCAATCCTTCCCTTGTTATATTATATTACTGCCTGTGTTCCCAATGGAGAGATTTTTATTAACTTGCAGCCCACACGGCATGGTGGTTATACTAGGAGCACAATGCTCACTCACCAAGATAATTAGACGAATTAATGGGTATTTTTTCCCTTATCAAAAAATAAAAACATTTTCAATGTTATATATTACAGACCAAAAGGGAGCATATAAGACGTTCACTATTAAGATTTATGTACCCTGATTTACGTAAACATGCAATAAAACAGACAGTTGAGTAAAACTGCACAAGTAGTAAGTCATTGGAATGTTTTACCCTCATCTGTATCTAAAGCAGGTAAACAAGATAGTGCTCAACCAGGAAAAAAATTTAAAGTCACTCGCTCCACAGCATTATGAACCAATGTGTGGAAGCATGATCATGGGAGGACCATTGGCACACGGTGCTGTAAATTATTTCAGTGGGTCAGCCAAGCACAAAGATTCTGCAGCTTTTCTTAAATCAACAGTATGTGCTGAAAAGATGTTTTATCTGTCGAGTACAGAACCTGTTTGATTATTGTAGAATCTACCACTGGGGTGCACTGTGGCTTTATAGAATACGTGTAGCGAATTCATAGCTCCCTCTTTATAGGAAGAGTCCCTATACTGGAACCTTATCAATTAGTCCTCCTTCCAAAGATGTAAATCTTATGTTTGATTTTAAATAGTGTACTATTTAACAACAAATGATTTAAATGCTTTAGATTTTCTATCACATACACATATATATTGCATAAAAAAACAATTACTATGCTTTACACATCATCCTAAAAGTATAGGATGCTTGGCAGCCATGGAGCAAAGAGGGGCTAAGTCTGGATTTAGATAAATGAGCGATCAAGGGTGATTTGTACATCATGTAGGGTGATAAGAGGAGAGGGGTAAAAAAAAACAAACAACAGGGTCACTCCCTAGATTTTAGGGTGTTTTGGCATTTTTTTTTGGCATGGTTGTCCAGGACGTTGACAAGTATTGAAACAGAGACAGCCAGGCAGAAAATATTCTCAGCAATGAAAACTCAAATTCAACATTTGCTGTTGCACTGAAAACTGCAATTCTCGGGGGGAAAAAAAGAAAAAAAGGAATTTCTATATGAAATCTGAGGGGGATTGTAGGTATAGAAGTATTTCTATAAGCACACCACGTCTGTTTAGCTGCATTTTTCTGCACACCACAGCATGTGCATGGGGTGAACATAAACAATTGATTACTATATACCGTGTTTACACCATACATGTACAGTGGTGTGCAGAAACCACAGCTCAAAGGCTCAAATGGGAGTATTTCAGACTTGTCAGCAGCGGGTTTGGCAGACTGAAGTACTCTCCTCACAGTCCAATACAATTTTCAAGCTGCAGGGATTGTAGTCCACATACATGACTTCTCTCATTAAGCCCTGATGAAGGGGGTGCGTTTTGGACCCCAGCAATGCTGTGGCTACTTTACTGGAATGTCTCCTGACCCTTATGGAATAAAGTTGCATATATACCATTTTAATTAATGCGTTCACATCTTTTAAATACTGTTGGATGAGAAACACGTAGAGAATAACCACAGGGGTCCATCAATTTCTTTCCGCACTTCCAAAAAAGTTAACAGCAGAGACCGCTAAACAGCTTTTTGTTTTACATGTATAATAGAGTTTTCACTTGAAGATTGCCATCAATAGGCTCATTAGCTGATGCTGACACACTACATCCAAGATCTGTTATGTGCCAAAATTAGAATAAACAATAGCACATCAGATACTCTACTTTTCCGATAAATCCCTTTTAAACAAAATATTCCAACAGAAGCTCTCGCTCTTCGTGGTCATTGCCTTATTCCCATTAGGGATAAGCATGTTACACATTACATATTGTACTAAAAGAAAGAATTATGAGCCTATAGATCACCCTGTGCAAGGCTGGTCAAAAGGCTTAGTGCAGTGCACCATGCTAACTAAAATGTAAATTCTGCATCTTAATAACCAGCTCCTAAGTAGCTTAATTGCTAATGAGAAAGAGACCGGGGAATGTAGAAGGAAGGTAGATGAGATGTCTGGTGTCTGATTGATAAAACCCCTGTGAGTATTTTATTGCATCATGCTGCTTATTTGTGGATCCCAAGTAGTTTAAAGCCAACGATTGCAATTAACTTTGTCAGACGTTCTCTGTCTATATAGGAAGATCATTTTTTTCCTGTTCTTGTACCAGGCACATTTTTTGTCTGCTGGGAGTGGTAATAGCCAATTTAATGTGTGCCGATCTCAATGGTACGATGATGGCTTGTTCTGAATATTTAATCGGCTCTGTGTCATGCAATGGAGGAAAATTTCATAAGGGTCTATTTATGGCATCATCATTAATGTTGTTCAGTAACATGGAGGGCTGTTGACAGTAAACCTGAAGCTGAAGTATGCAGTACTGGCTGATTCCTGAATATGCTGTGTGAGCATGTTTGTTGTTATCTCACATTATGACCTTTTAATCATCGAGTCAGTTTGTAATGGGCTGTAACCTGTAACAACCAGCCAGTTATAATCTGTGTTCATTATGACTACTTTAAAGTGAACCTGTGCCTTGCCTATGCAGGCAACGGGTGCACTTAAAGTAGAAATGAAGCCAAAACCTTTTTAGTCTTGGATAGAGTAAGGAAGGCTTTGAACCCCTAATGGGAGCTACCTGTCACGTCTCGCTCGATAGCCGATTACAGGAAGTGAGGAGAATCACTGGTGGTCAGCAGGATCACCAGAACAAGTGTTCCCATTGGAAAATCTTCCAGCTATTCCCGTTCTAGTGACCACCCAAAATTGTGAATTTTTTTCACTTATACTTTCCGTGATAACAGTCACCAGGACAAATAGGGTAAATCTCTGTAACAGGGACACGGACAGAAATAAAAACGCAATAGGTGTTCCAATTCCTTTCCATTCTCTATCCAAAATTAATTTAAAAAAAAAGTCTTGCACTTCAAAGAGACTGTCACTTTGCCTATCCAGGGCAAAGTTAAAGTCTTTCTAGAAAGCCCATCCGATGACCAACTTATATGCACCTTCCTGTGCTTCTGCATTGTTTAGTGCTGTATTTGAAGTCCCACATCAAACATTCTGTTTCTATTCATAAAACAAGCTAATTAATGCTCATAGAGACCCCGCTCCATCGGATCGGATTCCTCCTATCTTTTATGACGTGCCATCTTTCAATAGAGATAATAACAGCGGCCCATTCACACCATCACGTTAGAAAATGCTACATAAGACACATTTAATGTGCATTTTACATGCTTTTTTCTTTTTCATGTTTGCATTTTGTTGGTTTTGTCTGTAAGAAATATGGACATAGGACTTGAAAAATGCATATTGTGGTTTTAGTTAGTTTTTAATGCGCTCTTCATGAGTTGCCTTTGACTATTATATACGTTATTTTACAAAAATAGACAAAAAGATACAGCAAGCAGGATTTCTCAAAAAACACCACACACTGCCTTCTAATGCAACTCACGAAGACAAAGATCTTCATTGATTGTAATTAGTTTTCATGCACTTTCAGCACGCTTTAAAACTGTTCTAGCTCACATCTAATTGTGTTATGCCCATCTAGGTTAACAGACTGTGCAAGGGTGTTTTTTTTTTACTGCGAGAGTAGTAGTATCTTCTGAGCCAGTAGTATCTTCCGATCACATTGATAAATTAAAGATACTTCTAGATTAGCTTTTTAGTTCACTAAATATGCAAGGAAATGGGAAGTACCAGAGTCAAGTATATACAGTACAGACCTACACACACCCATACATACATAGGTTGAACTGGGTGGACCAGTGTCTTTATTCAACCTTGCCTATTATATTCCTATGTTACTTAGAAGCACCTTGTATTCAATTTTTGTTTCTACTTGCTCCTCACTGA